TTGTTACCTGCCAGTTACTCAGTACTTTTATAGGTGTGAAAATACCTATTTATATAAATATTTTATAAAAGCCTGCACATTTATAAATAAACCTAGCAAAAAATACATAAAAAATCAAAACTAGTTGGGAGAGGTCAGAAAGACAAACAAATAAGTATGTTATGGAAAACTTTCATTTTACTTTCAAATGTTCACACTTTCGAACTGGAATGAAAAAACTTCAAAATGAATCTCAAAAACCTGAAGTTTGAGTCTTGAGTCTTCATCCAAACCATAATTCACTGTAAATGAATGGTTTATTTTACTCCTGAGAGAAACCAGTACTTTTCCAAACAACTCTACTGAGGGATTTATGAATTTTTTCTTTACAGCTGTAGCCTTCTAATTAGATTTTCATTCAAAGGTGAATTTTTAAGCCCTTCAGACCTGAGACATTACACACAATCCTCTATAATCTCTTCCTGAGGAAATTATTGTATTATTTAATAGTCTTTGTGTTGGGTAATTACAGCAGGCTTCCTTCCTCCTTTCCATTCCTTGTTCTCTTTATTTACATCTGCAATAGGCTCACAGGGCCACAGTCTCTGCTGACTTCCAGCGTATGATGATTCAGTGAGATGCAGCAAGAAGAGAGAAGGACATGGGCTCAGTGGGATTATTCAGCATGGAACATTTAAGTTTTTAACACAGAAGCTGCAATGCCCTTTCCTTCAGTATATGCAGTCAAGACAAATAAAATACAGCATGGTAGGTTCCTCACAGGCTGTAGGAGGAAGTGCAATGGCAGGGAGAAAAACCCACGTGCAGAGGAAACACTGACAGTTTCCAGATGGCAAACACCGGAGCAGAGGTGAGCAAATGTTTGAGATGATAGCAGGCAGTGCTCTTTCTCTACCCAACCAGAGGGTAAGTGTCCTGCCAGGTGTGAAGATACCTGTCTACAAGGCAGGACACAGGCAACTGGTAATATTTTGACCCTGTTCAAGGCTGTGCCTTTTGGCTCTGCCATTTTCCCGACTTGGTGGGAACTGGGAGCTTCTCATGGATGATGACCTCACAGGATGCCGAAGCTCCTGAGCTCTGCAGTGTGCCGTTTAAATTCTGCCACCGGACCACTTTAGACAGCAGTTGCCAGCCCTGACTTTACAGCTCCTCAAAGTGGGCTTTGAAAATTAGGAGGGATGGCTGATTCCCAGGTCTTATTTTATTTTTATAAGAAGGGAACAATGAATAAAAGTAACATTCCCTAGGGCTGGCAGCAGAGGCAGCATTTGCAAGGCTTTCTGAGAAGGTATTCAGTCCAGCACACAGGGCTGGAACTCAACTGTTGTGTGCTGTTCCTGGCTCTGCCAGAGACCGCCTGTGACCTGTAACAAATCCCATCAGCTCCGCTTACCCTCGTGCCTTTTCTAGCACCATTCCTCAGACAAGCACCTCAGTGCCACACCACTCCAAGACTCAAACTGACTCCTGGTCAGGATGCTTTCTCCTAAGGCAGGGTTCAATGTATTCATGAAAGGCAGATTGGACTGCATCCAGACTTTACTGGCTTATTAAATAGGGATCAGACTGGTAAATACAAATCATGTACCTATACACACACACAGCTTTGCACATTATAATACAATTGCATTGAATGCTGAGTCAGCAGGAGCTCTGCATACTTTGAAAATTAAAGCCATAAAAAGTTGATTTCATGTTAGGAGAAAACAAGTAGCCTGTTTGCTGGTGATCAGCTTTGTTGCCTGGGTACCAAGTACAGTAGCTCCTTTTTGCTCCCTGCCAGGGCCCTGGAAGCGCATGCTGTATTTTGTTTCAGTCCAGAACCATTACAGCTATTTATTCATCTCCAGTGAAATGTTCCATTTGCTGCTTCACGTGGACCCAAACTGGCATCAGAGACAATCCTGCCTGCACACTGAGGGAGCTCGCCCAAGGCTGCGTCAAGGATCTTTGAAGGGAGGATTTGAATTCTTAAAAGCCTTATTGTCTTTGTAAGGCACAGCAAACAGTGCTTCTTCCATCTACCTGCTTTTCTGTAAGCCACTGAAACAATGCAGGGCTGTGGCGTGCTGCCTGGCAGCTCCACGCACCGGCTGTATCTCACTGGGATAGCTGAATTGTAGTGGAGAAACAGCAGCAGGATCTCTTGACTTCTGGCTGCTGGATTTGCAATGTTACTAACCCTGAAAAGTTGCTATGACTTGCTGAAGATGTGGTCTGCAGAAAAGATGAGCTGGTATCTTGAGACATCTGCAGATTCAGTCACTGTGATTTAACACAGCACCACTCATCAGCTCAGGAACCCACAGCATTGCAGCTGCAAAGCAGAATACATACGAGCTCAGAGGTGCTGACTGACAGTCAGTTTTCTTCATTCTGGGAATTAATTTATTTGCTTTCTCCTTCTCTATTTGCAAGTCAGAGGATGCATTCTTTAGTTCCCAGTTCTACAGACTCTCGCAGAACTAAGCTAGGTTCTTTCCTTCCCATCATGTCTAGTAAGTGAACTGCAGGACAAATTAGGTCCCTGGACAACACGGCTGCAAGCCCCAGTGCCCTTGAGGGGTTTCCACAGCCATAATCAGCTAGGATAAATAATCACATCCATCTGAAGGAGTGAACCCAGCTCATTCCATTTAAGCTATAGGGTAACCTCAGCCAAGTTAAAAGGGAGGAAAAAAGCAGAAATTCTTGGTATTAGAAGATTTGGAGACACACAAAGGGAGGGAGTTGATCTGTAAAGTAACATTTTCATGTAACTGCTTTTCAGAACACTATCACACCTCAAAGCTGCTTCAAAGAGGAATGCCAAACAGCCATGGTGAATTTTTCCTGTTAGTATCTTCAGTGCTGGGGAACAGGGATTTTCCAAGGTAGTTTCTGACCCTTAAGCAAAGAAGCCTAGCAGTGGAAAACCAACACAGTTCTCAAAAAGTAACTGGTCAAAATATATCAAAAATATCTCAGCTTCTTCCCACTGTGGCAAATAACTCTGTACATTTGGTGGAAAGACCAAGAGTCACATTACACAGATAGCAAAGGCTGCTCTTGCTTTTCACCATTGTTGCTCCTTGCTGTGTTCCCTGAGGGTAAAGCTGGAAAAGAAACTTTTTCCTAATCAATTATCAAGAGAACAGCAACTCCAAAAATGTAATAGCCTCATTCTATTTAGTACCATCACCACCATGAAAGATGTTTAATTCATTAATAGATTGTGTCCAGTTCAGACCAGAAATACCTGGGGTTTTTTCAGTTAAAGAGAAGGCAGTGCATTTGATATAGCCCCAAGACTGCACAGGCCAAATTTTGCAGGGTTAGTTCCTCAGTGAGTTTTCCCCCCCCCGCCTAAGTCTAAGCATTCAGATTTTTGTCTCACAAATTGCTGTAGAAGTGATGGGGGTACACCCTAGACTATGCCAATTACACACTGAATCACCCCAAAGTGGCAGCTGAGACTAGCTCTCTGGCTAGACAAGCAGTAAGTTTCCTTTAAAAAGGTTGTTTTGCTGTGGGTTTGGTTTTTTAACTCTTTACCAAAAGTCTTATTTTCCCCAGTTAATAGCAGGTCCTTTCACCAGTGACTTGGACACTAGGACAAGAACTCACAAAGTGGAAATAAAACCCAGCAATTTCAAGAAAGAGCTCAAGCACAAGTTGTATTTACAAATCAACTGAAAGGAAGATTAATCAGTAGTTTTAAAACTGCCTTTATGAAAAACAAATCAGATGATTGACCATAACTATTTTGAAGTTACAGAACTAAGAAATGTTTAACTACATTTATACTAAGTCTTACGAATATGGCTTCACAAGACAATACTCCATTACACAAGTACCAATACATTTAAATAGCTGCTTGGTCAGCTTACAAGTCAGCTTTAACATTCAGTGACTGAGGAAGAGAAGACTGTGCTCCAGTTCCTGTTTGTCTACTTCAAGTTCTCAAAGAAAACAAAATCATACCAGGAAGAGACTAAGTATTGCTTACTGCTCATTAGTTTTGACTTCCCTGCTCCCCACTAAGCCTACCACACAATACGTGGGGGAATCCCACCCTCTTTAAAACAAATTTACATTACAAAAGGCACAAGATGCAGCATGCTTTGCTCTCCTTCAGGGCCTTTCCTTCCCCTCACCCTCAGAAATCACAGTAGTAATGCTGGAGTACAGCTGCAGTTCCGGGACTTGCCTGAAGCAGTTTTGCCAGGGAACTTTACAGCTTAGTTTCCTCTCAATTTGTTTAACGAGAACCATCTCAAATCTAAGAAAGGGCTTCACCTCCGATGCAACCTTCTATTAGTTAGCACTACCATGACTGAGTCTCCTTCCCTTTTTGGTTGAGAAGCATGAAATGCAATGGATGAGTTGGACAACAGTCTCCACAGGCTTCAACTTACCCTTCGAATACAAAACAAGGCTTCTTACAGAATCAAGACACCTATTACGCATCAGTCCTTTCCAGCTAGCTGCAAAGCATCATTCTGAACTGTTTTGTTTCCACCCCTTTCATGACCACAGCCATTCCCACCAGGTTTACAGTGTGTAATAGTACCTGTTCAATGAAGCTTTCAGTAGCCTAGAGAAATTACCTGGCTATTCATACTACAGATGCTTCATCTGGTGTGCCAGTAAAACTCATATATGCTGGTAACTTTTCCCTTTGTTTTTAGGGTAGTTAACAGGACAGATAAAGTGAAGTACTTAAACCTGAACCTTTTCCCACCTCTAAAACTACAGACCTTATAAACTCATCTTGTCTACTTTGCATCACTTGCTTTAACAACCATTCTTCCCCACACTTTCTATTAGTATTGTTATACAATAAATGCTAAAGAGACATTTAAGTAGAAGGTATACCCCACAGCATTGATCGTAAAGGTTACATTAGTCTGCCTTTGAAGGTAAGCACAAAAAGTACTTCCAGCATAGTCTAAGGCCAGAAACAGCATCTATTTTATCCTGCAGATATAATGAAGACTTAAGAATATCAACTATGATGTTTTTAAGTGCTTTATATTTATTATAAAGTATTAATAACTGAGTGTATGGAAAATGATTCTCTATACTAGAGAATAAAATGACAGCTTTTACAAGTTATGCTATACAGTACATGAAATGCTGCATTTTTCAGCTGCTTGAAACAGTATTTGCTATACAAGCGAAAAAGGGTAGACTTAGAAGTTTATTATTTATAATACAGTGTGTTAGAAAGCACAAACAAATAACATTCAAAACAAACAAGCTCCCAAAAATCTAAAGAAATCTTTAGATGACATGTACACAGATTATACTCAAGTTTCAATATGCACATTATTGTTCCCCCCACAAGACACTCCACTTCACTGGATTGCTGGAACATGATGAAAATTGAAGGTGCAAGAAAAGCACCTCCCAAGCCACATAAGCATTGGATGGGCAGAACAGCAATTTCCTGAAGTGTTCTCCGCAGTCTTTGGCTCTACTATTTCTTACAGCCATATACTGTGGCAACACAAGAAGAGAGATGGGCTCCAATTACAAGTATTGTCAATGCCAATTCAGTTATCTGGGGAGTTGCTAGAGCAATTCAAGGCACTCTTTCCAGTGCTGCCAGCCCACAGAACCCCCTGTGCAGGACACAGCATTTTAAGAGACAACCAGGCTGGGCTAAAGCATATTCTTGAAGGGCATGGAATGAACAGTTCAGGACAAACTCCTTCAGAATGTCCAGTTCAAAGTTCATTCGTACTTCACAGGCACACCAGCTTAAGAGAAACATTCATGTATGTGTAGATAACACTTTAAAGCATACTGCTTCAATGTGTTTAGTTGCTTTATGGTTAAAGTGGTGTAACATATCAGCAGCTTTGAAGATAGTGTTCATGGGACATGTTGAACCAAATCTCACCATAAGATTTTAAGCCTATTTCACAGTTTAACAGTTGTCTCCTTCACTTTTCCTTCTCATTAAGAGGCAGCATCTACAATGAATCATCTTTTACAACTGTTCCACTTACAACATAAACCATAATGCAAACACCCCTCTAGAAAATGTACTCACAGTAACACTGTTTGCTCTGATACATGTGGTATTGACAGTTAATTGTAAGCTTCTCCCATAATATAAAATACCTTCTAGATCAAAGAGATTTAAAGATATTGCACTGTTGTATTTTACTTTTGCCTCCCAATCTCATTCCAAGTATTTACGGAACTGTAAACAAGTCATTTTTATACAGTCATCAGTACTGTACACCTGCGTTCCAAGGAACTGGAATTCAGTGACACCTTCGTTAGAGATACAGTAGCCTAAGCACAGTGTAAGTTCTGTCCAGCTGCCCTCTTCATACAGTAACCAACAGGCCACTCCTCCCACATTCACACCTTCAGCTTCTTCTTCTGATCAAAGTATGCATCAAATCTGGATAACGCATATTCCTGGAGAAATAAGGGACATTCAGTACTCAATACAATAAACACAGCTGAGTTCTCTTATTTGGGATGGGGAAGCATAATGAAGGTATTAACTGTGCTACCTTCCTAATCCATCATCTCAATGCATTAAATTAGTTCTATTTGGGAAGGATAATCTCTCCAGAGGTGTTCTGGCCTCTTAAAATTTCCTCTAATCTTATTTCCTAACACTATTAGCTGCTACCAGCATGTAGAAAAAACAGGAACTAAAAAAGTCAGGATTTCACTAAAAAGGATGGCTTCTGCAACACTTCCTGCAGGATACTCAGTGTACCTGAAAGTTATATCACTTTACAGCACACTAAACATGTACCAAGCGTTAGACTGATCTGTTTAAGTACAACAAGCTACCTGACATCGATATTGTTGCACACTGAATATCAACACAGGCACTTTGACTATTTCCAAATTCCCACTTACTGCATGCTAGCTTTCCTCTTGCACGGGATCTCTTACCGCACAAGAACACTTCACTGCATCATCCCACCTTACAATCTTTGATGTTCTTTACATTAAGGAAAGAGCACAAACTAGTAACAAATTGATTTTAAGTTCTACTCCACTTAGAAGATATTAGTTGCTGTAAGGGGCCACTTCGTTTACTTTCTGATAATGTACCACAGGTTACTTAATAGAATATACATTTTTAGTTACATGAAACTATGATTCAACAACTTACCAGGTAACCAAACTCAATGGATGAGATCTTTGCTTGTATAATAGACCACAGACCCCAGAAGAAGTGTGATGCAAGGGCAAACCTGAAATTACAAGGCTATGTTTATTGAAATACCCAGCTAAGTCACAACACCTTATTTCAATATCCTGTTAGAATAGTATTCCCTAGGTTGCGGATGTCCACACCTTTTCTTCAATTATGACATTATAAAAATAATTCCATTAGCTTCCCCATGGAGTAGTATTTTGTTTACTCCACTAATAGTGTATACCACATATCTAAAGTTTACAATGGAGAGGTTTTTCTTTTCCATATATAAATAGCTTATAATCTATCTTAGAAGAAGTTTCTCCACCCAGTGAGGTATACAAGTATAGGTATCACAGTGGAAGTTTCAAGGTACAGCTGTGAAAGACAAGTTACCTGTTAACTTCTATCAACACTTCTTCTTCGAGATTGGACTTCTCTTCATTGCTCAGATTTTCAAAGCCATCATGGAATGCAGACAGGTAACTGGAGATAAAATGAAGCTGGAAGGCAAGTAAACAACAGAGTTACAGCTCTTTGTCTCAAGACATATTTGCTTCTTTCAGAACTAGGCGGGCCTTTTAATAAGTTCTCATTTATTTTTTTCCAAACATCAACAGTGCTGGAGTTAGCTTTAAGATTAATGGTGGTTCTACTAATTGCTTAGAAGTCTGGTTTAAGAAAAGCCACAATATTAGGACAACAGACAACATTTTGCTACTGTCAACTAATTTCACAGCTGCAGTCCACAACTACTGGACTTTTTGTGGTAGGTAGCTACATGGCACAGAGTAAATATTCTATCCTGAATAGCTGTTATGAAGTTTCTATTATTTTAAAGAAAAGGTAGTCAGGACTTGTCCTGATTTCAGCTGGGATAAAGTTAATCTTCTTTCTAGTAACTGGTATAGCGTTATGTTTTAGATTTAGTACCAGAATAATGTTGGTAACACACTGATGTTTTCAGTTGTTGTTTAGTAGCATTTATACTAAGTTGAGGATTCTTCAGTTTCTCATGCCTAGCTAGCAAGAAGGCTGGAGGGGCACAAGAAGTTGGGAGGGGACACAGCCAGGACAGCTGACCCAAACTGACCAAAGGGTTATTCCATACCACGTGATATCATACCCAGTAGATAAACTGGGGGGGAGTTGGCTGGGGGCAGATCGCTGCTCGGGAACTAACTGGGCATCGGTCAGTAAGTGGTGAGCAATTGTACTGTGCATCACTTGTTTTGTATATTCCAATCCTTTTATTATTATTGTCATTTTATTATTGTTATTATTATAATTATTAGTTTCTTCCTTTCTGTTCTATTAAACCTTTCTTATCTCAACCCATGAGTGAGTTTTACCTTTTTTTTCCTGATTCTCTCCCCCATCCCACTGGGTGAGGGGAGAGTGAGTGAGCAGCTGTATGGTGCTTAGTTGCCGTCTGGGGTTAAACTGTGACAGGATTACAAGAAGTGTTGTATTTAAGGAAGTCATGGAGGGAAGGTCTTGGTACAGAATCATAGAATGGTTTGGGTTGGAAGGGACCTTAAAGATCATCTAGTTCTAACCCCCCTGCCACGGGCAGGGACACCTTCCACTAGACCAGGCTGCTCAAAGCCCCATCCAACCTGGCCTTGAACACTGCCAGGGATGGGGCATGCACAACCTCTCTGGGCAACCTGTTCCAGTGCTTCACCACCCTCACAGTGAAGAACTTCCTTACATCTAATCAAAATCTATCCTCTTTCAGTTTAAAGCCATTACCCCTTGTCCTATCACTACATGCCCTTGTATCCAAAACAGAATTGGAAAAGAGAGCTAAGATTTGAAAGACTGTGGACAATGGCATTTTATTATGTCTTATGTGCTTACCTGTTGCTTCTTTGAAGGATATTTAAGAACACTAGCTTTGAAGAATGGGTATTTCTCATACGTGTAATCATACATCCATTCACAAAAATGATTTCCAATGTCAAATCCTCTGAAAAAGAGATAAAAGACAGAGTACCTCAGTATTTGCATACTAGCAATCTGGTTTTGCTTAAGCAAACCTAAAATCAAGTTTAAAAGCACAAGGCTACTTAGAACTCACTGCAGTTTTGTTAAAGGAAGTAGAGAACTGATGACTAGAATACAACTTTTTTGGAAGTTATTAAAATCAATGAGTAAAGATGGGCAGTTAAAAATGAAAGCTACTAGCTACATGAAAATACTAGACTTTGCTACCAAGTTTTATGCCAACGGAGACAGTTAAAATACTTGAGTATGCACTACATCTCGGCACAAAGTCAGATGCACCTCTAACATTAGCATTGTTGCAGACAAAGAGGTCATACTTGAAGTATTTAACACATCCCACTTTTACATTATTGGAATTCAGGGTTCCATTATGTTCCAGCTATGCTAATGTTAAATTATCCCAATGACTCCACACACTTAGATCACCCTTAAACACAGGTACTAGATGAATGAGGTAAGAACAGAAAGCATTATGTGTAACCATGCAGTGAAAAACCCTAAGATTACTCTCATCTGCACAGATAAGATAGCCATTTGAAAGGACTGAAGGAAAAAAAAAAAGCAAAAGCAAACCTGCCCCACATACATATGTACACACACAATCTACCATTCTCCTCATCTCCCCACTTGCTTGCATGCTTTGACATGCAAGCAAGAAGCCACTGTGCATAAACAAGTCCTCTAGTCTGGACAACCAAGGAGCTCCAACAACTTTGACTCTGCTGTATGCCTATACTCAACACCATCAGGACCAGAGCTGTTCCTAGTTATATTTGCTGTCCACCACTAATAGAGCAGAACACAATTCACTAAAATAGACAGATAATCAGCAGTGCAGTACTTGCTCTCACTGTAGCATGTAGAAAGTAATACACCTTCCTGCTGAATAAAGTGATTTACCGGTAATTATAGCTGCTGTATTCAAAGTCAATGAGCATCAGCTTTTGGTTTTCTGAATTCTCTCTGCCTTCCAGAAGTAAGACATTACCTGAAAATTTTAAGATAATACAGCACATTCAATAAAGTCCCAGGAAAATTACAGAAAAGTAATACTGTATCTTAAGAAACATTGTTCAGATAATCCCAGTTATCCCTTACATCTGCGCAGAACAATGATAGGAAAAGCCAAGTTGCACTGGCTGTATACCAGCTCATTGAAAGTTGAGATATATACTATAAACCTTGTAAAGCTGAAAGCAAGAAAGTTTTCTTCTGTACAGGCAGAGGTAGATTTGTTCTCCCAAGGGTCCTGCTTCTCCAGTGTTTAGCTTGCAGCTAACTCAGGTGACACTGTCAGCCTTTGCAGCCCTTTCCAAACTGCTTCTTTCCACAGCTTGAGATCTAAATTATGCAGCTTCTCTCATACTGGCATAGCACTATCATTGATCACACAGCACTTGGGACAGGAATTGCTTTTCAGCAGCCTGAAAGCCAGAGGCTGATCACTTTACTATTCTAATATGCAACACAACCAGTACCCATAGAAAAGCTCAGCCTTTTCCTTTATAACAAGGAGATTGCTTTATCTTTCAATTCACTTTGTCACTACATTTAATCTGAAAGACATCAAGTCTGCCTCTGTCAAGTGCCAACTAGTAAATAAATCCAGAGTAATTTCAATGTCTGCAATAGTTTGTCCCCTCTCCACAGGTACATCTGTTCTCCATGCCACACCCTTGCACCAACTGAACAAGCAGTTTTTCACAGACCCCCACCCACTCCCCGCCTTGGAAATTTAGGTTCCAAAGGTTGCCCCAGCCTTATCATGCTCTGATTTCTCCAGTACTGCAAGGAGACCTCAGACTCCACCACTATTGAGCTAGCTCTTCAGACCTCAGATCAGTGGCTTTTTCCCCCTTCTGCTACCTACCCTTATGTGCCTATCCTCCAGGGCAATCCTCTTCCAGGCCAGTTACTCAGCCTTAGCTAACAAGGCTGGGACTCCCGAGAACAAAACAGCCCCGCATATAGTCCTAGTATAGCATCCTTCCAGCTCAGCCCAGCTTACCCACTGTACAGGTGACACAGAGCACAAACACAGCATATACAACACCTTCAGGCCTGCCTTCTTTTCATCTCTTTAGAGAACTGGCTCAGAAAAATTGTTACTCCCACCATGACTCCTAGAGAGAGCACACTAAAAAAAGGTGGATAAGGTTTTCCTAATGTTTCTTACCAGAGCAAGCTGAGAACTGCTGAGTCAAACTACCCTAGTCTCCATTTTTACCACTCACTGTACTTTTTCTGTATCTTTCTTTTAAAAGGACTAAAGTATATCCTACCCTGATGATGTATATTGCAGACAGCTAAGAAAGGTACGGTCTTACCAGAAAACACCCAAGGCTCTCATGATCAACTGACCTGTACTAACAGAGCATGTGTACATGCTTGGCTTAATCCAGTTATGATACCAGACATTCTCTTAATCAGCATGAAGGGCTGCTGAAGCCAATGCACTTTGCCTTGCAACTGTTGCACACTGGGAGTGCACAGGCTACTGTTTCAGGTCAGCTGCCAGGGAAATACCTGGATAATGTGACTACCTCTCAGAAAGCAAACAAGTGACCAGAAAAGGCTTAATACTGCATCATTGAACAAGGTAATGAAATATTAGCAGCTTACCTTCTTGACAGTCATTATGGCAAAACACAACTGGTGATGAAGTAGCTTCAAGCATAGCTCTGGGAAATAGCGATACAGGATTGTGTAAGTAACAAATCACCAAGTTCAGTTCCACTTCCAAGTAAAGAATGGATTTTGTTGTAAGAATTTGAAGCGCTATTCATTTCTAGCAAGACCCTATTTTCTCAATTAGGAGCCCAAAATCAGGACAATGAAGTTGGACTTCACTGATCAGCAAGTCAGATCAGCAATTGATCATATCAATTCATAGTCATATGAGACTCAGGCTGGTGACAGAACCAAAACCAATCCCCAACTTGTAAAGTAAAATGAATATAGGGTATTATACTGTATAAAGGGTTTGAACAAGTATATAAATTCATACTGAAACTGTGCAAATTGGAAGATAGTGGTAGACAAAATAAGCCTACCTTAGATTTTTCATTTCCTGGGGGAGATTGTAACTGAGGAGTTTGTTCAGTTTTCTAGTTCTGGACTCTCTGGTAAATTTAATCCTCAGCACTTGATTTAGATATCTGTTAAATAGAGACAACAGTACAGCATTTGTGACAATAAGTACATTAGTCTTCCCATACTAAGATGCCATTTAAACTAAAAATCAAGAAAGTTTAAAAAAGTTACTAAAAATGTTACTATTCTTCAAGGTAATTTAAGTTCCTCAAGTAACTATGAAACAGTTTCTGGGTACAGGGAGAGCTTGTGCTCTCAGGCATTCAGGAAGAATGATCTGCTTATCAAAATTACAAAAGGCCACATTTTTCCCTGTACTTCTATGTATTGTGTAACTTACTTTTCCATTGTTCCAAAAAGCCACTTAGGTTCTTTATTAAATGGCATCTTCATGCCATGAAATCTAGCCATCTTCTCAGCTATTTCAGCAGATATGTCAGGTAAGCTTAGTTCTTCAGTACTTAGCTTCCTGCTCTGTAATAAAATACAGTATTCTTAAAATACAGTTAATTAATTACAAAAGCATGATTAATTACAAACACTAGCATTTGTCTCTATATAGTATAGTATAAAATACTAGCACACTACTCAAGCAATAGACTTTTTTCATCCCAAATGAACTTACAAAACTGCTGTCTTTGAAAAAGCCAGGTTAGCCAGTCTAGCTTACTTATGATTTAAGTCAATTCTCTTCTAGATCAAGACCTGGGGAATATCACATCTCACACTAAGAATATCTTCAAAGCAGATTGGGTATAAATACTTAAGAACATCAAAAGCATCTGCTCTTGTTGCTGTTAAAGGAAAGTGTTACTCCATAGCTTCCAATGCTATGTTTGGTATCTAACAGGCTTTTTATCTTCATTTATTAGTCTCTGCTGAAGAGTTTTTAGATATCTCTCCCTGGCAAGAGCTATATTTGGGCTCTCCAACACCCACTATAACCGCATCAAATTACAGCTAGCAATTACTACGGGCTGCCAAGTATTCCATTCCCACATCCCTGCTTTTCCAGGCAGTCCAGAGACCTTCTTGTCACGATCAATTAAAACAGCTACCAGCAGCCCACTAACTAATCATGAACAGGACTTACGGGAATGAATTCCTCCAGTCGCCCTTGTGGAAAGATTCCATACAGCTTTGGGCCAAGAGCTCGCTCTGCAAGAATGGCAAACATAACACTTTCCAGAACCATGGCTTCTGCCCCCTACAAAAAAACAAACAAACAAACAAAACAAAAACCCCCAAAAAACCACCAAACAACTTAAAGTGTTAGTTGGTGCTTGCACAGAAATGAATTTAGGTGTGCACAATCGCTAAACTGCTGCAAAGGGAGAAATTTTAGTGTTAGCTTTAAAAAGAAGACTCAACATTTTACTAACCAAAGTTTCTTGACTAATAACAACTCGTACTTAGCATGGGAGCAATACAAATATTTTGCTTTGAAGTTTAAAGCTGGGGAGGAAAATACGTATTACTTAACAGGTACTGTTGGTGGGCCAGGTCAAAGCAAAACTACACAAAAAACAAAACACCCTCTCCTCCCTAACCTGTGGGAACTCTGCAAATTCATTTCCTGAAGGAGTTTATCCTACTGAAGCACAGCACAGGAACTATAAATATTATCCTTGGCTATTTTAACACACTTTGGAACACTGCCTCACAAAAGGACATTTTAACTATGCAAGTGAATGAAGTGAATGACTGAACTAACCAATTTTTCATTTAGAAGAATGACTTAGGATTTGTTTCCATTAAGCACATTTTAGATCTTCTCTTTTTTTTTTTAAGGAAACAGAATAATTTAAACTCCTGCTAAGAAGCATGTGTGTGTGAATGAACATTCTTTCTTTTCTACCTCTAAACATACCTCAAGTTTCAATAACTTTTCTTCAAGGTTTTCCTTACATCAATAAACTCAGTCCACAACAATCACAAGCAGACAGCTTTTTAATGACTCCTTAAAAATTAATAGAAATATGAAATACATCTCAAATACAGTTAAAATCACTAAGTATAGTTTTCTTGATGGGTAAGATTAGCTGTAAGTAAACAGAGAAGCCACAGTATAAATCACTATTTCTGGCAACTATGTTAACCAGAATCCAGCTGTACTCAAATCCTAGAGGTCTGCTAAGCCTCTGACTACTTTTGAGCAACTCCTCTCTGTCTGACCCATGACACTTAAAAGCATAAGAATTAAGAGCACAAAATTAAGAAAGCTCTCAGATATTTCAGACTACAGAGCCTTGTGCATTACTGTAGTCACTGCAGTCTCAGACAGTAAATAACTCACTCTATACAAGTTCCATTCCTGAGTATGCTTCACGCAGTTCCATTGATAAGTTTTTATTACTGGCCTACACATTATTTCAGCAGCTTCAAGAAATTCTGGCATTTCATATTGAAGTGTAGGAAAGACTCATGTAACGATGTCCTGAAGCATTAACGTCAATAAAAAGTAAGAGTCATCAAGAATACCAATTGAGAGTTGAAGATGATTTGCATATGAATGTATTGCATCCATGTCCTCCACTGTTTTTCCATCTCAACTCCTCCAAGCAGAACTAAGGCACCAAAAATACGTACTTTTAATTATTGCAACTTGCCCTCGCCACCACAGATCTGAACTTTTCAATTCAGCTCTGAAGCCTAATGCCAAGCACCAAAAGCAATTAGATACAGGTTACTGAATGTCTACTCCATTAACAGCCGATACTGAATTTGTCTGTGCCTTGTACAACACCAGGGTGTTTTAAAAGTCTGATTACAGCAATCCTGTCAGCTGTTCCCATTGAGATGTCAGTTCCTTGTTTTCACATCTTACTGAAAAAACAACTCATGATACCTGGATAACAGCAAGTGCCAAAGAAATGTTCTTCATTAAGATGTCCCTTAATGCATCAGAAGTGACAACTAGAAATAGTGAAATTTCCAATTACTCAACAGTGCACTTCTGCGTTACTTCTGCCACATGTCTGCCTAGCCCTAGTCCTTTAAGACATGCTTAAAAATTTAGAACCTTCAGATAACCCACAACTATGCAACTGCAAGTTTGTAAACTTCTGTGACAGCACTGTTAACAAGGATGACTGCATTTCTCCATGAAAGATCTGCTTCAAGATTAAAGTTACAGGCAAGTATTATCTAAAAGCAGCAGCATAAGAATATTCATGTTTGAATGCTCTGGTGCCCGACTCTTAAAAGACAAAAAAGTTTAGAGCACCAAAAGAACTTCCTCTACTGTAACAGAATGGTCACTTGAGAACAAGTCCAATGAAAGCTCTGGAAGAATACCATCTGTGGATCTCAGGCACAAAGGCTTCTCCTTCATAATACCTGATGGACCTTTTAGCAAGTCTCCACTCGACACACTACCGTCAAGTATAGGCATGGAAATAAACTACTAAAGGACATTAGAAAATTTTATAGCTTACTTCATATGGACACAGAACAAATCTAAGTAACTCTTCAGTTAAATGTTCACCTGATGACTTTTTTAAAGCATCAAGAATTTACTTAAGTAAATTACATATCTCAATGCCTTCAAATACTTTGCAATATACTTATACTGCCAAACAGCCACCTGTTGTTTTAAGCTCTGAAGCTCTCCATTTTCATCAGTTTCAAACAGATGTAACCACGAGCACTTGTATTTAAAACAAGCTTCTGGAGAAGATTTGACCACTCACACTTTTAAACAAATACTTAGAGCTGAATGTTGCATTTCAAAACTAAGAGTTATAAACATTGTTTACAAAACTTTTCCAGCATGCAACTCCCATTCAGGCAAGGAGAGATCAAAAGCCTTTCTATACCAGCTGGAACTGAGGCTTCTTCTGCTTTATTCTTGCTTCAACAAAAAGCTCACTATAAAAATACATGAAACTAGTATTTTGAGGAAAGTTGCCACTAACTATAGCAAAACCAAGGTAAAACATAGATAATCCCAGTTAAAAGACCTTATGACCTGACTATCCCATCTCTAGTCACAGTCATCAAACACCAGGCAGCTCAGAACAGCTACAATGCTTTTGCTAGTGATTCAGAACATTTTTGGATTATGCAGAGGTTTTTCTTCTCTCCAAAGGATGATATTAACTCCTTTGTTCAAGTGTACCTACAATTTTTACCTAGACTCAAGAAAATTAACAAATCCATCCTGACAGGAATTCTCAAGTATACCAATCCAACAGTGAAGTTCCAGCACTATGAGATTAATAGCAGAAAACAATAACCTACCAGCACAGAATCACTATTTTCAGGCAACAAAGACAGTTCTGAAGATCAAAACCTTGCTTCCTGAACTGCAAAACTTGTATGAGCTGTTGGCACCAGGATGGGGCTTGTTTGGATTTTTGTTTTCTTTTATAACTTTAGGATTATTTTTTTTTTACTGGATTGGGGCAGGGCAGAAATCAAGCCACCTCCATTTTTAATCTCTGAAGAAAACTGAGGAATCAAACCAGTACATTTTTCAGTTCAGTCTCAGTTCAACTGATTGAAGCTGTTCCAGTGAACTTAACTCAAAGTTCAACAAAACTTCAAAGGCAGTTATTCAACAACAAAAATTTTAAAACCAGTTTCAACTCACTAGAAAAAAAAAATCAAATGCTTGAACTGTTTCAGATGGCATTCCCAGAAGGCAGAAAATAAAAGGGAAGAAAAGCAGCACTTAACAAGTAAGATGTACTTTTCCCTAGTAACTGCCAAAACCATTACAGAGCTGAAAAACGATAGTAAATAACAAGCAAAGCATCTGGTTAACATGCTGCAATGTTATCCCTTATTGGAAAAAAATACTGCCAGGGTAGAAATCTAGATTACCAAATTCTGTTCAGATGACTATGAAAAATTACACTCAGCTAAACGTTATGCTGCATGAGCAGAAATGGTCCAAATGCAAGAACTTTAAAGTATGCAGAACACAGTGATCCAAGCACAATGCTATCAGAGACACTTCATGTTCAAGAGGAAGTTCTCTCCAGCTCCATATACTTTCCTCAGAAGAGTCCATCAATGTACTATAAAATAGGGATTAGGTAAAGCAGAGTACTGATCTTCCTCTACTAAAGAAAGAGCAGCCTAGTGTTAGAAATAGTGGTACTGATACCAATGTTAGAAATGGTAAGAAAGCATTTAGGGTTGTTTCTTGTTAACATAGAATGCTTCAATCTTTCCAAACTATGTACAGACACTCACATTATAGTGTTACTCCTATGAGCAAATATGATTTCTTTTCTTCATTACTGTTTACAGTTTCTGGAAACAGCCCAGTTGGAATAACTACTGGTTTAGAACAAGGAGGATCACTACATTTCTTTATCATCTATAAAATTCTGTGAAATAAGCAAACTTAATTACTCACTTGCAAGTCATTTTCCTTCTGAGACTGTACAGACTCTCCTTTATTACAGGACCTCTATGAATGAGAAAAAGCAAACACAATGAGAAGATGAAATTTAACATGATTAACCTGCAACCACCAGAACAAAGGGAGTAGAAGTGCCAGCTACGATTAACTAGATGTCTCAACACTGTCTTGATCTGTGACAGCTACAGCACTAGCATCCATCTGACCTCTGGCCACCACACTACTTCAAGAATTCCAAAATCTTTCAAAAGGATGTGCCACTGAGACCAAGCCGCTCCTGTAAATAGCCTGAGAGCTGATTTTCAGGTATGTTTTTATTGTTTTCCAGTACTATAAAACAAGATTTCAATGTATCATAAGCTTAGAGGAACATTTTTAATTAAGAGAAAATTAAGTCCCTCTACATGAGATCTGGGATGGTATTCTTCTTGCAGCTAAAGCACTTAAGAGACATTACAGAGATTACGTAAAAGCCTTAGAAGGACTATTAGAATAGGCATGTTACAAAACTTGCAAAGCAGTTGCTTTTTTCTGTTACCTTATTTTCCAAATTTCTTGTGACTAGAATTTCCTTATTTACAGTATGCTGTCTACGCTATATGTACAATGTACCACTGGAAGAAAAATCTTGGATTTGCACAGCAAATGAACTGCCCATGTAAGCTAAAGATGTCTCAGTAAGAACTGCAGTATACTAGCAAAACTTTAACAAATTCCATGCATAATGTATTGTGCTAGGATTGTTAACAGTCATTATAAAGCAGTTTCAGAGTATCAAACCATACCCTCAGCAACTAAACCCTCAATGGCACATGCTTTTAATAAAGCTGCACATTTAAAATTCAAGATGTAATAAAAACCTTGTCCTTTAAGGGGCTTGAAGGTAAGGAGAAGAGAAAGCAAATATTTGCTTAGAATTAGCGACAGTTTGTGGCTGCTATTTATGTTGCAATTCCACTGCTGACTGTTTAAACCAGACTAGCTTTAGAGGCCCATAAAGGTAGCCTGCATCTCCACCTTCTCAACAAAAACATTTGATTCATAGGACCGTATGCATACCTTTCTGTTCCAAAGCTCTAACATGTCCAAAACAAGGGTGGAAATATGAACTTAATGGATACAGTTAAGCAACACCAGCTGCCTTAAGTACAATACAACAAGCTAATGATTTACACAAGCTATGCAGTTACAGTATTTCAGAAGCTACAGAAGAAGTATAGTTAACATGAATCGATGGTCTTTCAGCAAGCACTTCCCATTCCACTAGGATAAGTTTAAAACAAAACAATATGAAAACTACTATTAGTTTATATTCCTTTCAAGGAAATGAATAAAGTCAAAACATATTCACTAAAGCTAAATGCGCAACTACTCAATAGTATTAAAGTCATTTACAGAGGGTTTCTCTGAACAAGCATGTCCTACATCAATACCACTCTTGCATCTTACAGATTTTTCTTGAACAGTCAGAAAGTTACTCACCATCCAGGAGTCTTTCCTGATTAATGGTGCTCTCAGAATGGTTCAGTTCATCAGAAGGTAAGCTGATTAGGCTTTTCCCTAGAACCTGAACTGGCATCCACTTTCCAGAAGTCATACTGCATAAAGAGCTAGCCAGTTCTGAGTCCACCTCAAATTAGTGTTGGAGATAGCCTAATGGCATCTACTGTGCCATTAGAAAGAGACAGTTAGGGATGTGTATTGCAGAGTCATCAGAAAAGGAGACTTCTGCAGCATCCCTTCCTCTTTTCTGTTCCCTCAGCATGGAGCATTAGTGTCCAGAGGAGAATGAATACAAAGTAATTTGTAAATAACTTGCAAACATGAATGGGAGCTTGGAGAGGATCAGTCTTCACAAGTGGCCATGTACTCAGCCTAGAATTAGAAAAGTCTCCAGTACACATGGTCAAGGAGAATGAAGTAAGCAGGATGCAGTTTTATATAACGGAAGTTTAAGAGTTTAAGTCTAAGAGTTTAACAGATGTTAAGGTGGTAGGATTTTGATTTCTGACTGCACAATTGCCTACAAGAACAGTGGTTCAAAGTAAAACATCTCATATCACGAAGTATTTGATCTACATGTTTAGCTCATGTGTTCTTGGCTAAACCAATCAAAACTTCAGTTTTTCCATAAACTCTAATAGCTCACTCCAACTTATGTCCAATTCTGGGAGCTATTTACTTCAACAGCAATGAGGAGATTTAAATTACCCAAATAAGAGAATGACTGAATAGCTGCTGGAGGTTTTTAATCACTCTATATGGAAATATTAGCATGTGTTCTACATCTTTATGATTTCTTTACATATTTGTTCAGTGCTTCTTTTATTGTGGGAAGTTTTATTCTCAAAGCAGATTAAGAATGCTCAATACAATTTTAGTAAGGGAGGACAGCTATATGCATAGAGACAACAGAAGTTGTTACAGAATCTACTTTGTGATCATGTAAATTGATTTTAAGGCAGGAAGCTTCAGGTACAAGACAAAAACCTTACAATGGGAGACATTGCACATTATCCAATCTCTGATCAAAAGATGACCAGACAGTGTTTATTTATCTGGCAGTTTGGCAAAGAAAATTGAGTTCTTCATCATTTTCTCTCCAATGCCCTGAATTTATTTCTCTTGTAACTGGAAGATGAGCTCCGTATCAAAAAATCCCAAATGATGCTTGACAGAAGAATTCTGTCTAGAGAAGGAACTTGCAACTTTTTTCCCCCCCAAATAAGCCTTAGCTCTGCTCACAAATTTAAATCTTGCTTTATAACTCCATTTTTCTGAGTTTACTCAGCTTTAGTAGTTTTCAAGACTTCAAGGTACTGCAATACTTTGATTTAGACAAATCCCTAGGAATTCAAATCCCAAGGAATTACAACATCACAAGGAACTGCCTGAGAGGTTAGAGGCAACCTATGCAGGGGAAACTTTTCTTAATTCTAGAAGCTGTTGGAAGACATCGATTTGAACTTCAGCATATGGGAACACAAACATTTTTAGATTCAGCAATAACTGTTTCTGCTTCTAAGAATCTGCCATTGATCACTGATCCCTGCCAGACCTGAAGGAACTAACTTGCTGAAGTCCTAGAATCTAGCATGTGAAGAATAATTTCCAGTTCAAGCCCTACAAAAGCCACAAAGACATCTCTAATCCTCTTCATTTCAAGTTACCATTCTCTTATGAGGGAGCAGAGGAAAGGAAGGGGCAGTACTTTGATATTTTGTTATTGCTGTAAACATTCAGATGCACAGACAGTAGCTGGTGCTCCTTAAGGCTTATTTTTAAACAATGAAATCCATTACTAAAGAAAATGAAAGCTGTAGAGAATGCTCCAACTTCAGAGATCTCATACTATACCGTGAATCGTGTCTGTCACCTGGAAACCAGAGTGCTCTAGGCACGATCGCATGGGCAAGCCTGCAGCAGAGAACACATGCATATACAACTAAAGTGGTACATTACCCCCAGAATACCCTTAACTCCACCCAACACAAATATATCCCCATAAGAGGTGCTTGGTTTCTTTCAAGCCGTCTGCCAGTGCCAGGGATTTGTAGTTACTCCATGCTACAAACAGACATGGACACCAACAACCACAGAAGACGTTGATAATTACAGTTACACAGCAGTCTGCATTTTATTTAGTTACAAAAAATAAAAGGCAGCAAGGCAGGTATGGAAAAAGATTTACCACAGAACTGTGGCAACCATTTATACTTATTTTGCGTCTGCTCACATAGAAATCGAGAGACTAGAGAGGAACATTAGGTATACAGGTTTGTTTTTCCTCATCTATATACAAGATTTTGTTTTGGCTGTTGCAAAGTAACAGAGGCCCAGTGAATCAGAGTTCAAGGTTCTTTTGACACGTGTAAAAGAATGGGAATCAATCCCCAAGTTACCTTTTGATAGGTGAACTTCAAAGAAATTCACCTTAATTTGAGCTTCTTTTTTGTTAATGCTATCTTATGTTGAAATCCTATCAGCATTTCTAAGATGTGGGAAGTTTTGGTTGTTCTGAATTTAAGTAGAAACACTACAGTTATCTGCATATGAAATCCAATCTTAGAGCCTGGACATTAAATGGCACATTGTTGGAGAACCTTTTGTTTCAGTTGTTTTAACACTGATATAGCCAACAGTTAAAGGTATTTTGTCATGAGGATGTTTTACTTTCAATGCTCCCCTTTACATTTAGCAACTAAGCTGGAGCAAGTGTAAGTGAAGCAGAGTAAGGCATTTCCCTTTTTTCAATGTAGAACATATCTGCATTGTGCCTCAAACATTTGAGTTTTAATGTGGTTAGTACTTTAACCTGTCACAAGCACAAATACTTGTCTTAAAAAAAAAAGTTCTGCTCAAGGATATACTCAAGAGAAGTCCTTGATTTTTAAACATCCATGCCAGTGCGACCATTCATAATAATGGCCGAGCCAGCTCAGTTCATCTCCCCCAACTCCCCCCAAAACAGTCATGCATACAAAAAATTGGCTTAAACATATCAGCTATGACAGAGGAAGGCACAAAGCCTTCCCTGTGTGGCAGCTTTAGCCAACTGGCATGGTTTATATTGGATGAGTTTCATGTACTGACATTTGTGTCTTCCAAGATTGATAATAAGCAAACTGGGGCTATTTTCAAACTGCAAAAAAGGTTCCTTTAAAAGGTGGCTCAAAGAATTATGGTGCCAGCATCATTCATTAAGTTAGTACCATGTGTCTATTTTTCACTTCTATTCAAAATTTTAACTTAACCTTGTATACATAAAACAATTTGGTGCAGATTGCTATAGATCTATAGTATTTACAGTAAAGGAATAAGAAGAGCTGATATCACTGTTTTGTGCTCCAATTTCAACAGAAAGTAAAATGGACAAGAGTTAAAACATGCTACAAAGGCTCAAACAAACAAGTGGTAACTACTAATACCCAGTGGCAGTTACAATCAAGTCATTAAGAATTAAGTCATGATTTTAGCATAAGGTCTCAAAACTCAACTTACTTAAGCAGTGTTCCTTAATTTCTATAGGGCTTTAAACTTAAGCAACATTACTAAAAAATATCAAATTACTCCCTCTTAACAGGCTTGTCAGAAGATTCTCCTTATGCCACCCAGAAATTCATAAAAATCCTAAGTGAGGTTTTCAAAATACCCCAATAAAACAGTTTGCTTATATTTTAACTTGCATTTAAGGTAGAGGGGCTGGAAGAGACAAATGTTTGTCGACAAAAATTGTGAACCTCAATGCAATCTGAAAGTTTTACCTTGGGACTTTCTCTGCTTACTTAACCTTTAGTGAACTGCACCAACAAGAGCAGTCATTTCACTGCCACTACGGAAATAAAGGAAGTTAGACATCTCAAAAGATCCTTCAACACCAAGAGTAGAAAGGTTAGAAAGTTATGAACACACCTTCAATTTTCAAAGCGAATTATTTCTGATTTTAGAGTCCAAAATTTTACTTTGATTTCTTCAGTAGATAGGGGCACAGAAAAGGCAAGTTAAAAAAAAGTCCTGAGGGAAGAGGAGGGCAACCAAATTCTAGAGTCTATTTTATTTTTCCTTTGAAATATAAGGGAAAGGCCACATTTCTTCACAGCTCTTGGGCAACGGAAGCTCTACCACTACAGCAGTTTTACAGCCCATGTTCCTACTCAAGCCTTCTACATATTAAGTCAGCATTACATTAAAGCCATTAATAATTCTGAAAAAAATTCTTAGCATCAACCCTAGGAGTCATTTTGAAAACAGTTTCTCACCAGTTTTTTCACTTTGCTTTTGGTTTCCCTTAAACTAAAGGAAAAACTATTTAAGCTTGAATTGATGAATTTCTACACACTTTTCTTGTTTAACAGTTTAACTTTCCCAACACACATATAGTGGTGTAGCCAAGCATTTCATGCTATTTCAAACCACTGCAATCTTTTACATATTTCTGGTAAAGTTTGCTACCATGGGAAAGTTAATACCTAACGAAGTATAATAAAAAGAACACTTTAAAGCCAGTTAAGTGACAGTATCCAATGAGATTCTTAATGGTAAGTTTGGTCAAGGCAGCAGAAGCAGGAAGAATGGGCTGAAATTTCAGGAACAGTCAATCTCCTGCAGATATCAGATCAGTTGTTCAAAGCAAGTGACTGAGTACTGGAAAATATCAAATTAACGAATAAAACTGTAGTCAAATAGAAACAATTGCCAACACCCAAATGTAATTTTATGAAGCTACAATTTTTCATAAGGTTAAACACTTATGATTATTTATTTACAATATAATCAAGTATCTAGCAGAGATGGGTAAGAGAAGATCTGCTGTACAGTCCTACGGTAATAGCCTGTAAGCTTTAAAAGAGATCACCTTTACAAAATATTCTTGATTTTAAACCTCACAATTTTAAACAGATTTGCCAACCACTTCTCTTAAGGTTTAACAATTCTCAGTGCTATTTACATTTTACTAACCAAATAAAAGAGAAGTAACATTAGAAGATTTCGACAAACATCTGGCTAAGCTTCTATGCCAGCTACAAGGCATATCACACATTTAGGAAAGCATGTTTTGGAATGAGATTGCTTCTTTTTTTTTTTTTCCATTTTGTGCTTCATTTTTATTCTAACACTATAGATCAAGTTTTCCAGCAACACAATTACCCATGAGATCTAATAAAATGCTTGAGCACTGTACAAGTTTGACAAAACCTTCAACTTTAATCTCCGAGATTCGTAAGTAATACCAAGGTTAAAATTAAGCAGTTTAGTCTCTTGCAATCTTGCTAGTTATGTCAAAGTCCTACATACCGTACAGAAGCAAACTTTAGTAACTTTCCTGAAACACCACGGTCCAAACTTAATACCATAAACAAAACATTACTGATCAAATGGACAGCAAGTGAGCCTTCAGCTGATATACGCCAGTCAGGATCTGTATAGAAAGGAGTGTAAGTTCTAGACAATAACAAACTATAAAGAAAACTGCTTTAAGCTAACAATCTAGCCTGCTACCACTAAAACACATTCCCAAAAGGATAAAGCAGCACACACTTGAGTGTGTCACAAATGAGGATCTCCAAACATACTACAATTAAGCTACAGAAACCCTCCCACTCCCAAAGCACTCTACGTACTCACCATCTGCAGGATTGCACCATATAAGCGCAGGAGAACTTTCCGTGGTTCATCTGCAAGTGTCTCAATGGTATCAGGTAGTGAGCACTGAAACAGCATGTTGCTGAGGCCACCTCTATCAAGAGAAAGGTAAGTTTATCAGCTAACTTGGATGAGCATACATGTTTTGTTTTCTACAAATTAGAGGCGCACTAATCATCCTTAGTATGATTAACTGATCTATGCTAACATGAGCAAATTTTCCAACACTACTAATAACCCATAACATGTAAGGCTTAAAAAAAAAATTGGCACTTTTGTGCTTCTTAATATATAGTTCACCATCAAGATCTATTGATCCAAATTACAGCTCAAGGTATGAACAAACTGATGTAAATGCAACAGGCAATGAAGACAAGACAGACTGCTGTTAACTATTTTCAGGACTTCTAGAAAGTGATGCTAGAGACTTGCCAGATATACTTGGTTGCAGAAACAAGCAAGAAGACAGCAGAATAAACTTAAAAACATGCAGTGAGTCTAAACCCCTCAGTTTGAATTAAGAGCTTGTATTGCTGGGATGGAAGCTACAAAGATTAGCTACAAAGATTTAACCTGAATACCTATGCTACAGCATCACTGATGAAAGTCTTACTTATGCTATCATTCTTAGGGACTCGTTTTCAATTTTGAAATTTGCAATTAAAGCCCTTCTTTGTTTTAAAAAAATTGCTCATGTATTTGTCAAAACTAAAGTCACCCTCAGAATCTTATCAGGTAAGACACAAACTAGGGAGCCCATGCTTCAACCATTCAGGGGTTATACAAGCATGCTGGCTTTTCATATAACTACAGTTTTACAAGAGCGTTCTTACACGAAAAAGTGACAGCATTTGTTTTCTACAGGTTTATCAAGCTAGGTAGTTACTAGATTAGAGAAGCTGTTTCTTGATTTCTAGTAGCCCACTAAGAACACCAGTCTACTCAACCCACATTTTCTTTACTACATTGTCTTTCTGCACCCTCTTCATTATCAATATGTTCATTAAGAGGTTTTCAAATTTCTCTTCTGCAATAGATTTCCCTATTACTTCTTCCTCTACTGTAAAAGGAAAGAGTACTGAAACTTCTGGTGTACTTGCAAAAGAGAAATGTAAATCAGCTCTACTGAAAAAGCTTGTCTGTCTCGCCACTAAAGAAAGAACTTTTAAAAACAGATACAATCCAAATATGGTAGCTAACAGTAAAGGGATGAGGTAGCACAGATTTAAAAAATAAGTTATTTTACTTGTAGCATGCTACATAACTTACTGTAGTAACTCTAGAATTTAGGTAGTAGTAGCTCTGTCACATTGTGATTTCCTTCACAAAATAATGCAGTTTTTCATAACACCCAAAACATAAGTATTTAACATTACCTTGCAGTGAGCTTTGATTCCAAGAACCCATGGCAGATCCAAAATGCAGTGGCTAAAATGCAGCTCTTCGTTCTAACTTTACACACCTCTCAATGCTTTTCCAAATATTTTTCTGGGTTCTCTTACAACTCAGTGGGGAAGTAGTAAAGACTTTCTGGAGAAAAAGGCTATCAAGAAGTAGATGACCTGTATGTATTTACTGGGAGATGATACAGAGAAGAAGGGCTGGACTACGTATCCAAAGTCAACGATTGAGAAGGAAAAAAGAAATCTCAAGAATATAGGCTAAAACAGCAGTTGCACAATACACTCCAGAAAGAAGACAGAAGAGAACCAGGTGGCTTGGCAGGCATCCAAAAAAGGATTTTTAGAGACAAGAGATATGAACTAACTTTGAACCATGAAGGTGAGCAGGTAGAAAAAACAGACAGATGGAAAGGGTGTCAAATGAAGAGCAAAGCCAGACTATTCAGATGCAACCAGAACATTGGTTAGTTATACCAGCTACATTCCTGGCTTCATCTAAACTGTGCTAGACAGGTTTTTTTGAAAAACACTTGCCACCTTTTCTAAGACTCTGATGTAGACTTTGGTGAAAATATCAATACTAAAATACAAGACCTAAACACATCGAAACCCACTTTACAAAAAATACCAGACTAGAGCTCAAAATCCTGTACAGTTATTTAAACACATGCTCAGCCTGCATATGGTGCATGAAACCCCAGAGACTCTTCTTTTTTTATGCCACTCCAGCCAAATAGGAGTATCTTACTGAGGCTGAACTCCATTCAACAGAAGTTTCACTATAGTTTGTGCACTTAAGACTTCAAAAGTTACCTCTAATCAAGGAAATCCACACAGGAGTCTAATAAAAGGTATTGTTCTCCTGAAAGGTCAGTAGACTCAGCAGCTTGTTTAAGGGTCAAAAGGGCATATCTCAACTCTTATACAGATAAAGCTACCAGTTAGTCTACTGCTACAAATGACTTAAAGGTAAGCCCTTCCAAAAGGGTCACCTATTTTCAAAGCTTCCCATAGATTTCCCCAAATCACAGCCACAGCAGTTAGATGTGCTTATATACTTGCATTCTGATTAGATGCAAATCTATTTCTTTGCTCTCAAACAGTAAGGACCAGACCCCTTCATCTGATGATACCAACTACCTAACAGCTGTTCATGAACACAATTTGCACTAATGCAGTCAAAATCGCAATGCTGACACACTGGAGAATGCACACCGCATGCTTGACTTTTGCAAGACTAGAATCAGCAAACCAATATGATGCTGCATTTGCACCTTTCATAGTTAACAAAGGTGAGAAGACTTTTGCCAAAATAAATGCAACTGCCAATTAGCATGGTTTTACACTTTTTTTTTTTTTTAAGTTTCAGCCCATCCTCTCTTCCTCACAATCTGGAAACATCAAGCCATTCTGAAGTGGTATCTCAAGGGGAAATTTCCAAGAAATGCAAGAGTAACTGTGCTAAAACCTAAGGCTTTGGAAAATAAGTACCAAAGTCAGCAGTACACACTAATAAGGATGAAAACAGAATTAAGCAAGTCAGATTACAGACAATTTATCAGACTAGTCTACTGTCTAGGAACAGTATCAGTCTTCTAAAAAATCTCACCCTTCATAAACTCATTATGATCATGTCATAATGACAAGAAATCTAAAAATACAAATACTATCTGCACTGGCTTTCAGTGAGTTACTCGTTTTCTATCAGGCTTTTAAAATACATTTAGAAATGAGCATGATGGGGTTTGATCATACTTTTATATATCAGAGCTTTGTCAACAGTTTATGCTCTCTTAGCTAACTGGGGGTAGATCTGCATATATTTTGTGTTATCAACGAAAGTATAAACTCTAGGAAAGCAAGCTCAGGGCTCAAGGGGAAAAGCTGGCAATCATATCCTTTGAAACTGTATGTGACTCCACATTTGATCAGGTAGAACGATCAAGCACTAAGACACTAAATCTGTAAAAATGAAACTCTGAGCTAAGACACTGGCTTAGCTAGCATGCAGGACTGATACAAAAGATAGACTACTTAATTCCGCAAAGAAGGCCAGGACCTCAAACGCATTACATACGGCTTCTAGAACATCCCCAAATTACATTTTCTGCTGCCAACGTGCTGAGTCACAAGTACTTGTTACTATATATGCCAAAAGATGATTCACGTCATTGATACACCGCATCTACCTGCTAACTTCTGAACTTCGGAAGCGTCAGGGCCACGCCAGAAAAGGCACTTTTTTTTTTTTCTTTTCTTTTCTCCGGAGGGAGCTCCGCACTCCGTGCAACCGCTTCTACCGGCTCCATCACTTCTACCGTCAAGGTCGGGGGCCCCTCCCCGGCTCAGGGCCCAGGCGCTGCCGCCGCGCTGCAGCACCAGCCACCTCGCACCACCACCCTCTCCTGGGGGTTGGCACAATGAACCCAGGGCCTTCCCCCCCCCCCGCCCCGGGCGAGACTCCCGGCGCCGGGGGGCCCCGCCGACAGCCGCAACTCCCCCGCCGCCGGCCGGTGCGCGGAGCGGGGGCACCCGCGGCGGCCCTGAGCGAAGGCGGGAGGCGGATGCGCAGTAGCTCCCCACCCGACAGCGAGCCTGCTCCCCTCCGCCCAGAAAAGCAAGTATAGGAAGGGTTTTTTTTTTACAAAAAAAAAAAAAAAAAAAGGAAGTAAAAGAGGGAGACGCTCATCTCCCGCACCTCCTGCGTGAGGAAGCGGCTGGGACTCCCAGCGCCCCACCGGCCCCGCCCCCCCCCCAGCGCTGACCTGATGGGGTTGATGCGCAGCTGCTCCTCCCGCAGCCCCCGCCAGGCCCCCGGCAGGAACTCCTTACACCACAGATACGCCCTGCGCCGCGTTCGGGGGTCGAGCGACGGCTCCTCCTCAGCCGGCGGCGGCGGCGGCGGCAGCAGCAGCGCGGAGGGCGGGGTCGTGGCGCCCCCGCCTCTGCCCGCCGCGACGGGGTCTTTCCCCTCGGGATCGGCGTGAGCAAGCGGCGAGGGGGGCTGCCCGGCGGCAGGGAGGACGCCGCCGCCCCCGCCGGAGCTGCAGCCGAGGAGGAGCCCCAGCGGGGAAGGGTCGGTCTCGCCGTTACAGAACTTGGTCTTCATCGCGTGAGGCGGGAGGGCGGCGGTGGCGGGGCGGGGGCGCGGCGGCCGTTGGGGCGAAGAGCGGGCGGGCGGGCGCGACAGCTCGCGCGCTCTGGCGCCCTCACCTCGCGGGCGTCCTTCCGCGGGCAGCGCGAGCGGCAAGTGAGCCGCGCGCTCGCTCCCGGCCCCCCCTTTTATAGGCAGCTCGGCACGCGGGCCCGCTCGCCTCACGCTTTTTTTCCTCCGTCCTGATTGGCTCCCGGCTTTCGGCTCCGGCCTGGAGCGGGGAGGGGAGAAAGAAGTTGCCAGCGAGCGCGAGGAGGGCGCGCGCCTTCTCCCGGCTCCCGGAGCGCCCGGCGATTGGTGCGCGAGGGAGCACGAGGCTCTCGCTCGCGCCGCCGCGGCCGCCCCCCGTGCGCGAGGGGCGGGCAAGGAGCACGCCGATTGGCCGTCCCCCGGTTGTCGCGGTGACCGGCGCGCGCAGCTCGGGGCGGGGGGGGCGCCGCGGCAGGTAACCCCTCCCCCCTGCTCCTCACAGCGGTGGCGGCGCGGCCGCGGGAGCTGGCCCCCCTGTCCCCGGCCCGGGCCGTCAGAGCCCCTCGGGCCCCGCTTCCCCTTCCCGCCGGGCTCAGCCCTGGCCCCGCCGCGTCCGGGCGCCCCCTCGGTGCCCGCCGCTCCCCCTCGGCCCGGCGGCCGCCGCTTAAAGCCTGAGGAGGATTTAACGGGGGAGGGTCGGACCACAGCGAGGGCTCGACCGGGGTGGGGGCGCTGAGCCGGAGGTGAGCGCTGAGGACGGACGGACGGAGGGAGGGAGGGAGCTGGCCGGAGCAGGGCGTGCTGTGCGCTGCAGCTGCCTTCCTTGCGTCGTTGGTTACGCGGTGTCCAATTAGGCTGGTGCTCCCTCAGGGCCGGCCGCACCAAGGCTCCGTAACGCGTCATTCACTCCGGGACTTGCCACGAAAACCGGTGGGAAATCTCTGTGCTGTACAGAGGGGGTTACAGCAATCAACAATATGTTTATTTAAACTCTCTTTCTTACAGAAAGTTACCGAGGTACTAGTTATCATGTGTGAGGGCTACATGGTAAACTGACCTCTCTTGGCTCAGGAGAAAATCATGCCTGAACAGAAAGGTAAGCTACAAGAAGAAATATAATTCCCACATGCAGTGCTTCAAAGTTGAACTTCTTTGTTAGTTTTGGCGGTGGAAAGACGTTCTCCTGTTACAGGGAACGTCAGCACCTGCCTTCCAGTCCTTCACAGCACATGAGGAGTGTCGGCGCAGTGACGTCACAGCCAGCTGGAAGAAGCTGCCCTCCTGCAGCCAGAGGGGGTGAGAATGTTGCCTAATATGTTATATCGCCTCGTCTTATATGAGTAGTAAAGGAATAAATCACCTTTAAGCTTTGAACTACCTCTGCACTTCTCTGATTTTTTTTCCTCCTTTGGCTGTTCTCCCTTAATGGTCTTTTACTGTATATAGAAGCTTGTGGGGTCTTTTAATAATACTTGCCGTTATTGTGGCAATCGTTGTTAAAGCTGGGGATCGCTGGGTTGTGAGGGACTTCCTGATACGCTCCTTCCCTCATCCCTTCCCAAACTATTTCACCACATGGGCTGCTCCCTCATTTTGTCTGTATGCTTCATTTTGGCACTCCAGTGCTGGAAAACCCCCAAATAGCCCAGGGATTTTCTGAGAAGTGGCAGGAAAGCTCCAGAACTGGCTTCAGAACTGCTTTGTGCTGGCACAACCAAAACTGTCATGGCAGAGGCATACTGAACCCTAGTTTAGAGGAAGAGTGATGTGTGGGTTAGGGATGCCAAACTGGAACAGAAGAGACACAGATTCTCTTTTCTCCCCTTTGTGCCTCTGCTCTTCCTTTATGAAATAAAATCCCTTAATCCAAGCACAGATTAGGATGCTGGAGATGGCTGCGGAGAAGCCCTTTGTTTTGCAGGTCGCTGCTGAAGTACCTGACAACATCACTGATGGTGAAGAGCTAAACTCCAAAAAACAGTTTTACAGATGGAAAGCTCATTCTGCGACAAACGCTGATGATGTCTCTACATGTGGGAAGAAGTGGTGAAAATACCAGAAAAATTTGCCTTTCAGACTGGCCCTTCTGCTTTCAAGTGCTCGAGTTTCACACTATTTTGTCATAGCGTGACATTTTTTTGTTGCTAATTAGTTATTTGACCAATTTTTTTCTAGATTGCTATTAATGGGGAAAGAAAAGGCAGAAAAGTCAGAGAAATAAAAGATTTGTTTTTCCTGGGTAGAGAGAATTCTATCCACTTCTACTAGACAAGAAAACTCCAACCTGTTGATGCTGGCCATTTCACTGACATTTGTTCATACCAAGTCAGAAGCTTTGCTTCAAAACCTCATGTAATCTCTTTCAAAGCCTCAGAGAATTTAGAAGGAGCCGGGAAGATTATGGCTCTATTTGTTTTATATCCTTTTGATTACAACACACCCTTTCTTAGTGTCAGTCTAGCTTGGGTTTCAATCCTGTAATGACTTCCGTTTTGATAAGTATCCTGGACCCATATAAAGCCCACACATATATTTCCTTTAGCTGTTTGTTCTGCTCATTACATCATTTATTAACACTTCATTAGTAGTTAGTAACCCACTGTAATTTATTGTTGAATTTACAAAAAGGGTGTAACTCACTTGAAAACTGTTCAGAGTGTTTTACAACAAACATGGTCTATCTTCTGGGGAGCCACAAGCATGTACATACAGTGCAATAAAGGCAAGAACAAAGCGGTAGAGGAACTCAAGGTAGAAATAAAAGTAAGTAATCCTAAGGGCTTCAGGTTTAGTTGATATGAAGGCATATTGATATGTTACTGGCCAAAATTATTTTACTTTCATTATTTCCAGAAAGTAAATGTTGGTTAGGGAATTCATTATTGGTTAAGATGACTTTAATCTTTAAATTGTGGGTAATAGTTCTTTCAGCCATGTTATCCCACCATTGTGCATTTCAGATGTGGTTGATTTGAATGGGCAGGAAGCCGTGTGGCAGCAGTGGCATGAGCTTGGTCTTACTGAAAGCCTAGGCAGCAATGCCAAAGTTGAATGGTCAGAAGGCTTGACGCAAACCCCAGTAGAGTATGTGGAAAGACAGGTACTGGTTTCACTAAACATGAAAATAAATCATTTTCTGCTCTGACCCAAGAACTTCCCTGGTTTGGCTCAAAGCATCCAGGAGGAGCAATGTATGAGAAATTTATACTGCTCTTCTTCATGCAGTATATTTCAAATGGATAAACAGAGAGAGAGGTTCTCATTCTAGAGCTACTGAGATGGTTCTTTTCATAAGTTTTAGGTCCACATTCAAATAAAACAATCGAAAAAAAGAAAACAAACCTATTTCTTCTACTTGTGTATGTGACTTTTTTTCTGCTCCTAAGGAGGAATCTATGACACTGAGATAATGCATATAGTCAAATTCAACAAAACTAAGCCTTCTGCTAACATCAGAATATATTGAAAACTAAAAGGCATCAGAAAACTCAAAGAAGGGAATTAAGTACTGAATTATTGGCTCAAACTCTCCAAGACTGAACAGTTAAAATACTGGACTCAGACTTGAGAAACCTGATTATGTTCTCAGCAGCAACTGACCCCTGTTTCCATTTCTTGTCCACTAGAAACACCTTGTTGTTAGGTAACAATGCGATACCCTACCCAATGGATTAGTCAATCAACAGCCATCTTCTTATGTAACAGAAAAAGGCAAATGTGTCTTCATGTTCCTGATGTCAGATTTTACACCATAGCAACCAAGCTGCATTAGCACACTTTTTTTGTAGATAGCAGACATGGATTCTGTATCTATGTTCAATTTCTGATCCCATCTAACAGGTTAATCCACTGTAGCATCTAATAAGTGAGACCCATTAAGAGAATAATTTTTCAGCTGCCTGTACCCCCTGGATAACCCAGCCTTAAAGCTTGTGAAGGAAGTAACGGTGAGGTAAGTAGGGTTAGGGCACAGACAAAACACATAGCAACTAATTATGTCATAAACAAGGTACAGTCCGGACTCAGATCCCCTCTTCTGGGGTGAGCTGAAACTTGAGAGTTTGTACAACCTCTGCTATCAGTATGGAGGGAGACAAAACTACTTGTCACAGAAATCTCCTTCCCCTCAGGAAAAAAACAAGTCCTTTTCTCTGTAATTTACTTTTCCCTCAACCCCATACCATGACTGTAATCTATTACTTCAATGGCTGAACAGAATTTAATGGTCAGCGAGTCTACTACTTCCTCTGAAGTAATGGAGATCCTTCTTCACCAAGTCTTGATGGAAATTTCTACTTTTCACTGGTTCTGAATGCAGTCTTAATCATATATTCGGTATGGAGAGGGCATATGTCTCTATGACATAATAAGATGAACCATTTGTTAATTTATTAATTTGTTGGATTTACTAAAGCTTATGAGAATATTTTTTCCCAGTTTTCTGTAATACTTTTATATCTGCAGCAAAGGGAATTGCAGTTGGATTGATATGTGATTTTATTCACCCCAATTGCACTAGTGCAGTAGAAATTGCTTCGTGCTCACAAAAGAGCTAAGTTTAGAATTGTGACTCATAAAGCACTCCATTTTCTTTCACAAGTCTTTCTTGCTATTTTACCAAGCAGCAGCCGATTTTACTGGCAAGATCAAATGCCAGCTAGGGCCGCATCTGCCACATGGCACAGAGAGAATGACACTTTTGTAGAAGGATGCAGATACTTATTTCAGCTGAAAAGCTTGCAGACTTCTTCATAGCAGTTGTTGATAAACATTCTTTTATGGACCAGTAGCAGGTTGCTGCCAAGTTTGTGAATCCCATTTCTGAAGCTCAGCTGAGGCTGGAGACTTCGACATGGGAACTGTGCAGTCGTTGCAAGTGTGGGTGAGAGTTCAGGGCTGTCCGTGAGTCCCTCAGCCTCTTGGCTCACCTCCTCAGCATACTGCTCACAGGGGAACATGTTGCGATAGCAAAATACTGTCAGCCT